AAAGTCAAACGAACACTAAACTTTGATTAAAAAAATTATTTTTTAGGAAACAATTTTTTTTTTTTTACTTTTGGCAATGGAAACAAATTTTATAACCAATTGTGGAAAAAATTATTACTTTAATAAACACTTTCCATGTAAAATAAAGTCAAATGAATAGAAAATTTAAAAAATTTTCGGGTGGAAAATTATACCAATCAAACACATTTGAAATCATTTTCCCCGCAAAACATTTTCTAGCCAAATCTTTTTCCTGTAAAACATTTTCTTTCCACCCATTTTCCACTTTACAATCAAACGCACCCTAATTGTTTTGGATAGTAGTCAATTTTATTCAATTCGTGATAAATCTTGTCTCCAGGAATTGGATGGATTTGATTTTCATCTAATTTATGCAATTTCTGGTTTTCCCGCTCCAGTTTGTTCAAAGCTGGAACTTTTCAAATGCATAATTTTTTAACCTGCTCTTGTTGTTCTTTTTTTGTCAGGATGCATGGCAGTGTGACATTTGTGGTTCAAAATCTGGGAGGGGATTTGGTGAGTCGTGTTTTTTGTTTTGAAATCCTGTATGTTTGATTTTGTGTTCTTTTGAGTTTTGTCCAATTGTGACAGATGTCTATTGTGACGTGCGACTATGATATAATCTAGACTGTGTCATTTACTATTGTTTCTGTAATTTACTCTTCCGTTTAACCATATAAAATTCTTGATGGGTAAGGAGAATATAGGTTTCCTATTAAGTCGTTCATTACTTGCCTATTCCATGAGGAAGATTCAATGCATGTTTGTCAAAGTTTATAATTAATTGCTTATAAGCAGTGAGTCCCAAGGAATGTGGGATTAAAAAGTAGGTAAAAATTGTGGCCTACGAATTGTGGATAAAATAGAGTTTAACCAACTTATAATTGCTCATAAGCTTTGACAAACGGGCTCATTTGTTTGCATTGAATTGAGATTAGAATCTCAATTAGGGACCTTAAAAGGGTTTCTTATAGGATGCTGTGTATCAAACACTGCTCCTGTCACTCTAGATTCACATCAAGGTTATGCTTAAGGCTATATGTATTTGACTATTTGTTTTTGTGTTGGATGAGCTTACAAGATATAGCCAAGAATACAAGATTTGGTTTCCTGGAGTATGTTATTCTGAGATGTCATGGTTTTAGTAGATGAGATTATAAATTGTTGGATAAAACTGGAGTAATTTGAAATCTAAAGATCTTTAGGTTAACTAGAACTAATTGTAAAATAATAGAATGCTCTTTTAGTCAAGTTAGCTCATGGTTCGAACTTGTTCTGTGGGTTTTAACAGAGGCGACTGTTGAAGTACTCCCCAGACTTAACGAAATCAAATTTGGCAGTGGTGTCATCGATGAGCTCTTGTTTTTGGACTTGCCTCGTGAATGTAGACTTTCTTCAGGAATGATGATGCTTGAGTATGCAAAGGCAGTTCAAGAAAGCATATATGAGCAACTCCGTGTGGTTCGCGAGGGTCAGCTTCGTATCATTTTTAGCCCCGATTTAAAGGTAATCCGTGAATGCTAATCAATACGAAGCACTGTTACTGTTATGCACTCATTGCATTGATCTTTGACCAATTGCACAACTTGTTTAGATATTATCTTGGGAATTTTGTGCACGGCGTCATGAGGAACTTCTTTCTCGTAGATTGGTAGCACCACAGGTAAATGCATACCTGACTGACTGTTTGCTGGTTGATTTCTTATAATTCACTGTTTCTTATCTTTGCATGGAAGAAAGTCTTTTTTACATCATGTTGCACTAGTTAAGCTTCATTCTTATTTACTTTAATTATTTGCACCATTGGTGTTCTAATCTATCTGTCAATATATAACTTTGTTGCACAAATTTTCACGTGAATTTAAATAATGTGTTTTTTCCAATTGCATCTTTATTAAGTTTATTTATTGAGTCTAAAAACCCCATTCTGAGCTTAGATGGACTTAATTTTTTTATTTTATTTTTTGAAAAAAAAGAAATACTTTACTTAATATTCTTTCCCTCATTCACAGTCAAGAAGGAGTTTGATACTAAATGCTGCTGTGGTTAATCAATTCTCTGCTTGTGCTAGGCTAGCTAATTCCGTGCACCATTCAGTAAAATGGCATAGTAGTAATTGGGGACGTCACTGTTTCAATATAGAAGTTCTGAAACTATCGACTAATTTTTTGTTTTGTTCATTTAGAATGGAACTAGGTTTGAGATATAGAGGAAAAACTCACCCACAGCAACAACTACAAGCTTAAAGCAACACTTTTTGATGGGCCAAATGTCACTTGTTTAGCATAAAGTTAATCAATACAAGTATAGTGTGTTACATTGTGTATGTGGAACTTCTAAAACGTACTTCTCCTGCAGGTAAATCAATTGCTGCAAGTTGCGCAGAAATGCCAAAGTACAATTTCTGAAANCTCTTCGTTCAATGTCTGCTAATGAAAAGCAATATCCTGCTCACTGATTAATTAAGTGTAATAAAATTCTTCATTGGAATGAGCAAAAGTCGGTCATCCAGAAAGTTGATTGTCCACGGGATTTAAGAACTAAGCAGATTTCTTTTGCTAGGTCTTTGATCTGGACTTTAAAGTCCATCATGATTATGCATGCTCTTGCTACTGATTTTGTTGTCAATTTTAATCGATTAAACTTTCAGCGGTCTATGTTTAACGCCACAGCTTTTATGTTGGAATTCTCGTCATGTATTCTACGTTTGGAATATTTTCTCTGTCGTGCTTTGGCGCTATTAGTTCATCAATAGGGTTATAAAACCTAAGAATAGCTAATTACCTCCAGACTTTGAATGTCAAAAAATCACATTTATTAGTTTATGTGGTGTTTATTTTATGCTGAATTTTGACACTTTACTTTTTTATTATTGTGACTATCTGTTTGCTTTAAAGGGGCGGTGACCACAGCAACGCCTTTTGAACATTTTATTGTTCATTGAAAAGCAAAGAATCAAGACTATCACCTCAATTTTTAAATAACAAAATCCAATCTATGAAGGTTCAGGAATTTGTTTTGTTACTTAGCCTTGTCTTGCAGTCCTCAAGTGCTTTCTCATGTCCAGAGGTTCAGGGAGGACTTAAGTACCTTTGTAACCCCTGAAGAAACTCCTAGCTTGCTGTTTGCTGTACATTTTGATCCCTAGGTTCATAATTATGCACTCGACTTGCTGAATTGAAAATTACTGTTTGACTGAAAGCTGTTTGTGACTTATGCATTTCTTGTATGAAACCATTTCGAGACCTACTTTTTCCAGGGTTGTAACGGCTGGACGTCAGCTTGCCTTCTCAAACCTCGATGTTAGTGAATATGATTTGGGATTTTCCAAAAGATATGTTCGATGCCTTCAGGCATGTTTTGATCTTTTATAAACCTTTTAACATGCATTGGCCTGTTGTTCATACTTTTCTCCAAGGTGTCTCATAGTTGTTTGCTGTGAACAGATTGCTGAGGTTGTCAATAGCATGAAAAAACTGATGGATTTCTGCGGAGAACAAAAAGTTGGGCCAATTGGTAATTATTGTGTTCCTACTGGTTTCATACTCAAATAACGGGTAATATTCATTCGCAGTAACTATACTTTAGAGTCAATCAGGTAATTGTAATTTAATTATATTCAATTGGGTAGTTATACTTAATTTGATTTCAATGGAGTAACTCTATCCAATTCCTTCATTTAAATTGAGGAAAATCAATGTACCGATGGTCAATAAATGAATTCCATTATTTTGCCCCTATTTGGTATTGATCTAGATTTTAATCTAAGTTAAAATTAACAGTTAATTTTAACCATATATTTTATGGGACCACAACTTTTCAACCACTCATTTCATCAAATTTTATCAAAATCTACTAAAATCTGATTTTAATCTCCACCAAACATGGGCTTATAAGCCTTATATTACTATATTTGTTCGTACTTCACTTCACTCCAACAACTAATGGGTACATGTAGTGTCCGTCATTAAATGACAATCATATCATCGGTTTTTGTCAATGGAATTGGACAAAGTTGCCATAATTGATTCAAATTGAATTGTAGTTACCCGATTGAAATTAAATTGAAGTTATTTGATTGATATGAAAGATAGCTACCGCGAATGGAACTTTACGTCAAATAACCCACGATCCATTTGCAAAATTTGCATGTATAATGGAAGATTGATGGGATTTATTGAATGCATAGATCTACACAAAGACGTGCTTTTTGTAGCTTGAGTGTTACTAAAGATGTAGTCTTCCTGAACCCAATTTATCCATGTTTTTAAGAGCACGAAATAATGTCTGGATGGCCATTATTATAATTCAGCATGATCTAACAGCAATGTTCATGTACAGAGGGCTTGAAAAATTTTCCACGACACACCACTGTGCCGAAGATTGAGATGCAAGAGATGGAGCAGATAGGAGGTGTTCAGGGTATCCCATCTGATTCCAATGCCCTAAATAAGGTAATGGCATTGAATCCAGGAACCAACAGTCAAATGAATAATAACCAACATATGGTTGGTCGAGGAGCTTTGAGCGGCTCAGCACAGGCTGCTCTTGCATTGACAAGCAATCAAAATTTGCTGATGAGACAGAACTCAATAAATTCAACCCACAATTCAATTCAACAGGAGGCATCTTCTTCCTTTAGTTATTCCAGCCAAGCTCTGACTTCATCAATTTCTGGGTTGCAGAATGTTCCTGGTAGTGGCTTCTCGAGTTCCCATGTGTCACAGCAGCGGCAAGGGCTGCAGCATTCATTAAGTGGTAATGGTTTACTACAGCAAAATCAACCCCAGCCCTCTCACGGGAGCCAAATGTCACAACAGCAAACAATCCAGCAATTGTTGCAGGATATGAACAACAACAATGGTAGGGGCGGGGTTCAACAGCAGTCCCTTTCGATTCAGGGTGCAGGTCGGGATGGACTCGGGTTTAGAAACAGCCCTTCAGCTGCAACTACTCCGTCTGCAAATGGACAAGGCAATGTTGTTGGACACCCACCAAGCAGAAGCAACAGTTTCCAGTCTGCTTCAAATAATTTCTCATTTAGCCATAAATCATCAGATTTGCCACAGAATCTTCATTTATCAGAGGAAATGGTACAAGACATTGCCCACGAGTCCACGGAAAATGGGTTTTTTAACAGTGATCTTGATGACAGCATAAACTATATGTGGAAATAACATGGTCAGCTCTATTGCTAGCTTCAGGGAAGGGAACCTGGCATATAACTATGTACAGATGTTTGGTTATTTAATCATTTTGTTTTCTGTTCTTCCTCTCAACTATTTTGTAGCTGCTTTTGTTTGTACTTCAATTGGTGTTTGTCTTTCTATCATCTTTTCTTCTGGTTCTAGCCTGTCAAAGCTTCTTGCAAGTGTAATCTATTGACATAAATTTAAGGACGTTATAAATTGATGTTGTTGGGAATTTACTTAATCATGCACAGCGGAAATGAATAATGATCTTTGCTGATTCTCGAACTCCAATGATCATGATCTACAATCCAAACTGTTCAATTGTTCAGCCTCCAATAGCGAACCACACAGAGAACAAGAATGATTACTAGGATTTTTTTTTCTTGTGCTAACAAAAATAATGAATTATTTCATACAGTTTACAAATCCTAGCAGTCTATTAATATAAACTCAAGCGGGTTTGACCCGTCACTTAAACTTAACCCGATCCAATATTTAATTAATCAAATTAATTAAATTTGGTCTATGAATTAATTAATCCAATTAATTAATTCGGACCGATTAATAAGCAACCCAATTAACTAATTATCCAACATTTGTCAATTAATTAATTAGTAAATCTTATTATTCTGGCTCTCTTTTGTGTGTGACTCATTAGGTTCTCAATTACAATACCTAACGACGTGAATTATTATTTTGATCTAATCAAAATCTATAAATTAAAACACCCCTTTTTAATTTATCACTAATTCACATTCGTTGTCCCAAATTGACATCTAGCAATGTGTCTGGCAATACGTGTGACGGAAAATGTCACGTGGTGTAACAAAACCAAACTTGTTCGTTTACCGTGAAACTATAATCCTTTCATCAATATGACCCGATCAATTATGAGATATGGATATGTGTCAATCTCAATTATCAATCATATCTTTTATTCCACTATAAAGTCAATGTAAGTCGAAAACTCCTTTTCGACTTATGAGTTCACCTTGAACAAAGATTTCATTATCAATTTAACTGAATAAAATGTAGATCACAATCTCTTACTATCTAAGAGTGACGAATCATATATTGATCATTCACAATTTTCATATGATTCTTGACGTACCCGAACAATGCTGTATTAGCGACTCGTGGCAGTGCAACATCCAACATCACCAAAGTATGATTGTCCTCGTATAAGGTACTATGATGACCTCAAGTCAAACGACAAATTTCACTACCGAATTTTAGAGATTAACCACTTACACTTAAATAGTTATCCATGTGGAATTTCTCTGTGGGTCTCCAATGTTTTGTTCTATAACAAAACATACACGTGTTCATTCAAGTGTCACCACACTTTAACTTGTGAGATCAGCTACTTACTTTACAAGTAAGAAATACCACATGTGATGGTCTATCCGTAACGATATATGTATCTTGTTTTACTTCAACCACAGACGATTTAAGATTCGATCATATGTAATTTGTATCTCACAATCACAACTCCTTGTGATTAACAAATCACCAAGACTTGAATCTACGGATTCTATTATTTAATTTATTAGAATATTAATTCAATTAAATAATAGATATTGCCATANATTGCCATAAATATGCATCGATTATATATATATTTAAAGTGTTTATGTTCAAAGTTGATGAACCTAGGGCATAACACTTACAGATGTTAATATATTTCCGTCTTTCTTAAAATTCAATAAAATTTGATGGTTCGTTCTTCTTGATCTTGTTCCTGGTAATTTTATTCTCATGGAATGGCATCTTAGAATTTACGAATTCTTGGCATACAAAGTATTTACCGCAAACTAAGCCAAGACACATTACAAGATTCATAGCTTGCAAGACAGAAGAAACGAGTTAGCAGCAAAACATTTCAATACCCAGATGGATTCAAGAAAACATTGCTTTTGCCAAGTAAAAATGAAATTTGACTTAGCAAATTTAATTCAAATTTAATTCAATGTAAAGTTTTAACATCAACATGGAAAAATGAAGAAATGGGTGGTTTCCATGTTCTTTCTCTTGAACTTTCTTTTTAGCTTCCAATAAAAAATCTTATTTTAAAATTCGAACGGAGGCTATGCTTTCCGATAAACGGTCCTGTAAAACTATACAGACTGCTACCGGAAGGCTGCCACTGCATCCTTGAAGTCTTTTAACAGTTCCTCAACGCTCTTCATGGTAGAATCATTATTGTCTCTCACTCGCACGGCTATTAAACTGATTGAAGAAAATCAGTAATGTTCAGAGTACCTTTAGTGGAATTTTTTATAAGATTTTTAACTTGTTTGATGCATCCTCGAGATGGTTTCGCATGTATGTTGGCAAGAATAACGCATGCCTCTTGAGAAGTTTTGGCTCTAGCAACAAAATAAATGATCGTAGGAGATAGAGATCCAATGAGAGCATTGAGAATCAGTTGATCTTGGTGAACCCACATGTTGTGAGCTAGAGTATCATTTGTAGTCAGAGTCTTCCGTGGACAAGGATTGGAGCCATCAATGTAACCAAGGAGATCATACCCAATAAAGAGTGTTTCGAACTGTAGTTTCCATGAAACATAATTGTTGCAGGTGAGTTTAAGAGGGCTTGTGTAGAAATGTTGATGGTGATGAGATGAAACTGATTGGTGTTGAGTGTTGTGGAATGAACTGGAGCAAGTGGAGGAAGAGTATTGGTTGAACTATCTGTCTCGTTTGTAGAGGTCATAGTGACTGTTGGAGGAAAAAAAAAAAAAAAGAGAGGATTAATGGGAGAGACGGTGCTGCTCTCATACCATATAAACAATGATGAATTGGGAGAAGAAAAATACTCTCTTACTTCATTGATTTCAAGAGTATGAGCCTGTTTGGTAAGGATTAATCTACTTGTACATTATCGTGTACATAAGTGTGTACATAATGTGAGTGTGGTGGAGCCCACGACACTGTAGCATAGACCCCACCTCCACTCACATTATGTACACCCTTATGTACATGCTAATGTACAAGTAGCATTCCTCGTTTGGTAAAAATTCTCATTTTCTACAGTAAATTAATTCTCATTTTCAACCACACATTCTTCAATAAAATAATATTTTCCATCACATCAATACTTTTTTCTTCTTTTTCAACCATACATTTCCCATCATATCACTATTCAAAAATCAATTCTTCATTCAAAAATCCCTACGAAACACACTCTATATATACACATCAGACTTTACAAATGTATGCCTATACCTAAGGAAGAAGTTATACTAACAACTTACAGCTGAGAAGATCATCCAAATAATTTCAAAAGTTAAATTCTGATGCAGGGGAAGATTATAGGAAAGACAAAAATCCAAACAAAAAGAATTTCAACAAAAAGAAATTCAAGAAAACTTTATTTCATTCAAAATTGGGTTGTCTCGAAGGGCTTACAACGTTTAAATAGCGAAAATCCTAAAAAAATTCGGAAAAATTACATAATAATGAGAAAATATTATTTTTTTCAAAAATGAAAAAAATTGAGATAATGACGGATCATGATTTTTCTAATTATCAGGATCATCCCCCAACAAACGAAAATCAAATCGGAGTTTATTTGACTAAAATATTGCCAAAACAAAAATTACTATAAACGGCAAAAGCGCTTAATTGAAAGCTTAAACGACGAAATCTGCCCAAAATCCGACGTGCTTCAGGGCCAAAGGCCCTGAGTTATGATCACTGGCCCCTTTTCAATTTAATTAGACTAGCAATTTACCAAAAATGGACAAACCCGAAATGAAATTGAATTATTATTTTACCTTCATCAAATTCAAATTACAGATAATACAAATATAGTTGATATATGCTTTCAAGTTTCAACTATTGATGCCGATGTTGGGTGGTGCTGGCGTTAGGTGGCAGTGGTGTCAACTGATTTTCAAGGGTGGGATGGAGTGGATGAAGGAGAGAAGAAATAGTTAGAGCAAGCCTTTATTTTTTTTATTTAATATTAAAATTGTAAAGTTACTATTTTTTCCTTTCAAAAATTGGTCAAAATTTACTATTATGGTTAACTAATGGTCCATTTGGACTCCATATGAGAATTTTAAAAAGTTTGGTACTGTAGATAGCACAAATGAAAGGTTTGGATCAAATCTGCTACTAAATGAAATGTTTGATACTATTACTACAATTCTCCCTACTTTATATTATGGGTTAAAGGTTAAAGTTAAAAATTGATGGTTATTGCATTATCTTGTTTAAGACCTTTCTTTAAATCGAATATTTAGTAAATTTTAATAAAAAATTATTATTGAAAACTTGATAAAAGTAGGTAAAAATGATGAATTTATGAAATGTTTAATTGTAAAATATCATCCATTCCATGTTTGATAGAAATTAAAATTCAAAATTTCAGCTAAGTCAAATTCAATAATTAATTTTAACCACACATTTCATATGACCTGCAACTTTTTAATCACACATTTCATTAATTTTTATCAAAATTTAATAAAAATTTGATTTTAATCCTCACCAACATGAGCATAGTAATTAACTAATTAAGTATTTATTAGTGTAGATATTGTTTGTTATATATGTATATGGTGTAAGCAACGAAGTAACAAGACGAACACGTTATCACAATTTATGATAAATGAATTGAAATTGTCAATAAAAGAAAAAGTTCTTCATTATCTATATATTCAATATTCAACGCCTTATAACGAAGTTTAACAAATGCTTTAAATAGTTCGAATAACATAAAAACCGTACCTTGTAAGTGACGAAAATACCCCATCCATGTCCAATTCTCGCGTTTGAGTCCCAACATTATAATATGGTAGCGTTAACAATCAACCTGCATCACTATTGTATGAAGCTCTTTTGAGCCACATTTTTAGTGAAAATGAGTTTTGGAATTTAATAATTTAAAAATTTTTGAGTTTCATGCAAGATTATTTTATTGGAAGAATGTGTGAAAAAAAATAATTTTTTAGATGATGAGGCTCAAACATGTGCTTAACATTGGTAGTTTGGATAAACTCAACAAAAACATATCCATCTCAACCATCGATAGGAATGACGAAAAAATGCGTTTAATCTTATACCCACTGGATCCCACCCCGAATGGGGAGGTGATTACCTGCCTAACTGGGTAAACGGGACGGGGATGGACATATATGAAAAATATAGTCCCTGCCCCGCTACCCACATCGTTTAAAGTTAATTTCATATTTCAGTTTTTACGAAACAAAAATAAAAGATTTATTATTATTTTTAGAGGGAAGTTGTTTTTAGGAAATTGAAAAAAATATATATATATATTCACTAATTAAAGATATTAAAAAAATAAAATAAATAAAAACAAAAAATATAAACGGGGCAATTTTTGTTTTTTACATTTTGTACATGCTCCTTGGAGATTACATCCATAGTACAATCTGAAGAATACTTTTAAGCCTTCATTGATGCACAATATATATCCCAAGCCAACTTCCTCATATGGGACTCATTGTCAAAAGTTAACTGCCTTTCGGTGAAAAGCTCTATCAACTCAAATAATTTATCTACAAAAGCCATTCTCGACTTTGTCACATTCATTCAACCATTAAGAATTTATCGACCATTTAACTCGAATGTGTAGTGGAACTTCATCATCGTCAGTCAGAGACAGCACTAAAATTGTTTTAACTTGTTCATGGACTCACTTGGGAATATGTACACACAGTCCAAGCAAAGTCCAGCCTTTGTGTGTGTGCAATCAATTTGAGCCATTGAAAACTTGAGTTTTGTTGGGATGTAAGAATTCTCAACAACAAAATCTCCTACATGATAGTGCATCCATTTCAGTGCAGCATCGTTCAAATAACACTTCGATGTCATATGCTGGCCATTTGATGCTGCTAATTGGAACTGGACAGGCTTATTCCAGCCATGGACTTGTTCTATATCACTGATGATTCGCCGGCTGCCAGGTCTTTTTGAAGCTCTTCCGAGCTGCAGTCGGAAAAACAGGCTGTAATTACCGGCCGGAAACTCGAATTCAAGGTTGCCTTCCACTTCTAACCACCACATTTGCTGAAGATAAGCAATTGTATGAAATCTGTACATTTTTCAAGGATCGTTGAATGACCATAAGGGAGTAAATTAATTAACAAAAATGACTTATTTAACAGACGTGGATGTAACACAGAGCTTTCAAGCTGTCAATTAATACATCACTAACTTGCACAAGATATAGACTTTTCTGGCAAATAAAATAACGATAATATATAGCAATTGGACTATTTCTATTTTGCTGAAAAATTCAATCTTATCGCTATCCTATTTCCGAACCAGACTGAATTTTAGTCTATACAGATAATCAATAAACCAAGTTAATTTTGGATGGAGTACAAGGTGAATCTTTTTTCGCATTTGATCAAGAGCTATCGAATATTGCAATCCAAACGCGTGGATAATCAATGAATCTAACCTGGATTCATCTGTGGAGATATGAGTCCAATATCTCCGATCATCTATTCCAGTAATTTTCAATCCCTTCCACGAAATGGCAACACAAATCCCTCTACGACTATTTTCCAGCCAAACTTCCTGTCAAGAAAATAAATAAAGACTTTACATGTGTAAACTTTTTTAACGTGAACTACATCATCTAGATATGCTCGTTTATACTCTAGATTTAGCAGACCTTACCTTGGTGTCGCCAGAAAACGGAATGGGACGACACAATCTGGAGAAAATTTCTTTCTTGGATAAGCTCTCTGAGGATTCCTCTTCACTGAACAGTTTTTTCGCAAGAATTTCATGATTTTCAGGCAACTTCGATGCCCAAACAACATCAGCTAATGAAGCCTGGTGGAATGTTTTGTTCAAACATGCTAATTTACAGATATCTGAAGGTTCCAAACAAGAAAGAATTAAAGCAATACAGCTCTCTGGTAAGTCACAAAGATTAGGGTTTGAAGGATGAGTTACAGTATTTTTCTCAGTAGCTAAACCGGAAAAACCAGCCCCCATGAAAAGAAACAGAAAACCTAAAATGTCTAAGTAACTGTAGAGGGAAGAAGATAATATTCTGGGATGGAAATGGAGGAGAAGTGGAGACAGAATATAAGGACATGAACATGAAATGTTTTCTTGGGGCCTAGGATTTGTCTTCCTCTATGAGAAGGAAAACATAATTAATTCAACGATGCTTGGTGTACATCATGGTTTACACCATTTTTTTTTAATATTTTGCCACGTGAAATTAAATCATTGAACAATTTAGAAAGGAAACAGTTTTTTTATCCACTTATTTGTTTGTAAGAATGGTAATATCAACCATTACGTGAAAAAAAAAAAAGAGAGAGGAGGCGGGGTGGGGGTGGAGGGGGTTCAAATTATGAAAACGTGTGGATAATGAATTAGACATACCCTGTTGGCATCTATGAACCTTTTGTCTCCTATTTCAACGTTAGGGTCCGTGCTGGACCATGTTAGGGACCCTTTATCTCCTACTTTAAATGTTAGGGACCATGTTTGGACTTTGGACAATCTTTTTCAACCAAACAAAATATTGAGGATATTTGAATTTGCTTATGAGTAGGTAAAAACACTTCTTTCAAACACAGTCAAACACGTTGTCTATCTAATTATAACACGGTTAAGGATGACAATTCGAACTGTGAAAATCGAAAACCGCGGTTAACCGAACCAAATGGGGCGAAAAAAATCGAACCGATGGTGCAATGGGGCGGTTATGGTTTTGATTTTAACGAACCGCT